TTTTTTTTTTTTTTGGTACTAGGGATCAAACTCAGGAACTTGCACTTGCGAGGTAGGTGGCAGAACCACTGAGCCAAATCCCCAGCATCTGAGCGTTTTCTTGAGACAAAGTCTTGCTATGTAGTTTAGGCTGGCCTTAAACTTGCTGCTATCTTTCTTCCTCAGCCTTCTGAGTGCTGGGTCTCCAGGTTTGTGCCACCATTTCTGGAAAAAAAAATTTTTTTGCCAGGGTCTCACTATGTAGCCCAGGCTGGCCTTGGCTCAAAGTGATCCTCCTGCCTCAGCTGCCTAACTGCTAGGATCACAGGTGTGTGCCACCATGCCTGACCAAAAAACTTCTTTTTTTCTGGTACTAGGAATCAAACTCAGGACCTTGCACTTGCCGGGCAGGTGCAGCACCACTGAGCTACATCCCCGGCTCTTTGGCAGAATTTTAAAAAGTAATAAAATAAATAAATAAGTTGAGCAGGGTGGCACATGCTTGTAAGACCAGCACTCAGACTGAGGCAGGAGGATTGCAAGTTCAAAGCCAGCCTGGGCAATTTAGAAAGGCCCTGTCTCAAAAAATAACAACAACAATAAACCCCAAAGAATAAAAAAATAAAAACAATGATACTTATGTATTTATAGACCAGATCTTGCTATATATTCCAGGCTGGCCTTGAACTCGCCATGTAGCCCTGACTGTCCTTGAACTCACAGAAATCCTCCTGCCTCAGCCTCCCAAGTGCTGGGATTACAGGTGTGTGCCACCACACTGGACTGGTCTTTAGTTAAATAACAATGTATTAATACTCATCAATTGTAACAAATATGTTACACTAGTACAAAATATTACTGCTAAAGGAGGCTCTGTGGAGGTATCTGGGACCTCTGTACTTTCCACTCAATTTTTCTATTAACCTAAAAATGCCCTAAAAATGTATTAAGTGGGGAAAGATATATTATTGAATACTTCATTTTGGAAAAAAAAGTGTCTTTACACCCTGAACAACAAAATAAATTCAAATGCATCAAAGATTTAAATGTTGGAAATAAAACCATGAAGGGCCAGAAGAAAACAAAAATACATTTATCTATAAATGTCTCAAGCTCATCTTTATTTATGGCAGAGTAGTACTCCATTGTATTAAAAAAAAAAAAAAACCCAAATACATCTTAGCTAAATGGATGCACCTTGAAGCCATACTGTTAAGTGAAATAAGTGAGACACAGATTTAAATACCACATTGTTTCTCTGGTGTGAGAAATCAAAAGTAGAAATAAGGACTAAAATGTATAATAGGTACTGGGAAATGGGAAGAAAATGTTCAAATGGGAAAGGGAACAAGGGAGATGGGAGGGAGAAAGGAAAAGGGACAAGAAAAAAGTGAAAATAGAAGGGAAAGAGCTGGGGATGTAGCTCAATGTTTCCACTGGCTGCCTCCCTCACAAGTGCAAGGACCTGAGTTTGATCCCCAGTACAAAAAAAGAAAGGGGTTTGAGGGGAGGGGGAAATGGGAAAAAAAGGTAAGAGGTATCGGGTACAGGT